GGCTGAGGCGGGACATGCGGGCTTGCTGCTGACTTTGACTGCGGGGCAGGGCGGTGTGGCCCGGCAGCTGAGGGTGCTGCGAGTATATTCCGTGCGGGTGTCTCTCGTCGTGGGCATAGAAAAATCCAGACTGGGATGCCAGTTCCAGCGCCACTGGTCGGTCCACGTAGTCATTGTAGGCCCGGATGGCACGGATCTGGTCGAGCGACAGCACCGGGACCTGCTGGAGGTCCAGCCCGTCCAACTCCATCCTAAAAGAGTGAGCGGGGTCCATATCGGAGACCCACAGAAGGCGGTACCAGGGTGGGCGGCACCGGGGTGGGCGGCTCCAGGCCGACGCTCACGGGACATCAGATAAACCTGCGAAGGTGGGAGTCAGTCACACAACAAGAGTGTTAGTTGATTACCTGGTGCTAATGCTACATAGCCGTAGTCAAAAATGCAGTCAGAGTTATTTTGCATGATCTGGCTAACTCACGCGCACAAGCTAACTAACGAATATGTGAGGAACCCCAACAACGCTGCAGTCAGATGTCTTTTGAGATTCTGCCACCTATCGAGCAAACAAAATAACGAACCAGCAAACAAGCTAAAAAAAAACAAAACGATATAGTCAGAAGTTTTTACATTGTTCTGCTAACTAAGCAACCAACTAACTATTTATGGAGTCAAATATCTTAGCTTCAGATGCTTCTACTAACTACTGTATCTAGTTAACAAGCTTACAAAACTAACTAGCAGCCAGGCTAAATGATCGTGCAGCTGCATGTTATTACATCCTGCTATGCAAATGCCGAGCCAGCCAACAAATTTTCTAACGAGCCAGCAAGCTCAGAGTTTTTAACATATTTCTGCTAATTGTATCGCTAAAAATTCAACCAACTAACAAAGTAATGCTACAAAATGAGGAAGATAGACTGCTGTGAATAAATGAATGCAATTTCATTGGACAAATATTAGAATATGAGTTGTACAAGAAATTTAGGTCAGTCCTTCTGATAATCCTCAGGCCAGCATAAAGGGCCTTGTGTCCCCGTATAAATTAGCTGTAAAGATGTCAGATAGATGCTCGGGAAAGGAAAATAAAGACGAGAAGTGCAGGAAATGCACAGGCAGCAAAGTAGAGTCAATTGAATAAAAGCTGCAGATGAATGGATAAGCACATAAGGGAAAAGGCAGAAGTCTCGGATTAAAGACCTTTTGAGGGCATGCCAAAAAATACATCGAACATCTCTAAAAACATGGCCGGAGATTTGTCGTGGCTCTTTGTAGACTTTCGGCTCAGTGCGGGGAAAGGAGAACCTGACAAAAATGGAGAACTTGAGCCCTTCTTAAAGCCGAGCGCCATTAAAATCTCGTAGGGTTGGGGTAGGGTAAAATTCAGGGGTAGGGTTTCAAATGCTTAGGGTTTCAGTTTGCAGTTACTGTTTCACGTTTGGACTCCAACTTCATGTAGGGGGTTCATGTCAAGTCTAGGGCTTTAGGTGATGTTGTGTTGTGTTCCAGTTTAGGCTTCAATAGCCTACCGGGAGGGCAACTGCGTATTACTAATTGGGCCAAAGTTGACACTTGCATGTTACTCGCACGACGAGCAATATTGTAAAATCCTACTTGTTAACATCTACTACCTAGTACGGTACTTCACTAGTAGTTCTGACAACAACCGAACTCATGAACAAACAAACTTACTAGTGAGCAAGCTAAATAAGTGTACAGCCGGATGTCTTTCCATAACAATGCCAACGAGCCAACAAATTAGCTCAATAGCGAGCGAGCTAAATAACTGTACGGTCAGACAGTCTAATTATACTGTTTAGCCAACAAACCAATTAGTGAGCAAGCTAAATAACTAACTAGATTGATGTGAAAAATCTTGCTCTCTGCTTCCGTGACAAAAAAAAAAAAAAAAAAAAAAAAAAAAAAAAACACGCACGCTCAAGGTCGAAATGTGCTTCTTCCTTTGACTTCCGCTGAGTGTGGACGGTCGATGGGGCTTTTTAATGGACCAAGCTAGCTCTCTCAGCGATGACCTCATGCAAGCAACCAAGCTATTTTAAAAAGCCACCGCAAGGGAGGGGAGGCGGGAGGCGCACTTCCTCGCAGATACCGTATGATCTCCAAGAAGAAAATATGACTTGAATTGTGATCCATCCGTCAGACGAGACACTTTCGCATCTTTAAAAGTGAATGTTCTTATGACGCAATCAACCACCAAATATCGAAGATACTGAATGTCTCCACTTAAAATCTGTTCAAATTCGGTTCGGGTTTCGAGCTGAAGTGAGGCTGATTCAATTGAAGTTGAATGATTCAAATCAGAGTTAGACTGTTATGTTTGAGTTACAATTCGGGGCTGGGGTTCCAAATCAGGGTTAGGGTTGACGTTTTCATGCAACGGTAAACTTAGAGTTTGACGTTCGGATTGGGGTTGAGGCACTAAGACCTGGAGGCTTTCCTTCCTCGATGCCCTGCCAAGAGCAGCAGCAGCAGGATTAGATGACAATAAACTTGATGAGATACCGGATGTGCTGAATCTGACCGTGACGGAAAGACTGAAATAGACACTGAAGACCAGGAAGGGGGAGGAGGGGGGTGGGGATGGTCACAGGAAGGGAAGGGTCAGCCAATGACCGAGGGATCACGACACTGTTAAAGATTTTTTTAAATAAATATGATGAAAGGCCATCTGAGGGAAAGTTGGGGAGGAAGTTCCCATAGCACAGGGGCGGGGAACCTTGTTCATCATGGTCCTCTGAGGGCCATGATGAACTGGTAAAAAGTATGAAGTAACAACAATTTTCATGATACGTTATGAGTGGACCCTCAAGTGGAGTCTCAAGAATCCATATACTGAAAGACACAGGAGGGCAGCCATTTTCCTTCGGAGCCCCCAGTTTATGGCTTATTGGGGCTATTTCCAGTCCCGGTGGTCCAGTGGTTAGCACGTCAACCTCACAGTACAGAGGTCGTGGGTTCGTTCCCGGCTGCGGCCTTCCTGTGTGGAGTTTGCATGTTCTCCCTGTGCCTGCGTGGGTTTTCTCCGGGTACTCCGGTTTCCTCCCACATTCCATAAACATGCGTGGCAGGCTAATTGAACACTCGAAATTGTCCCTGGGTGTGAGTGTGAGCGCGGAT